GATAGAATTTTCGTAATGAATTTCGTCAATATAATCCATGAATAACTGAATGAGACCAAAATCGACTAATACGAATTCCCGTCTGAGATAAAGGAAGAATATTCTAGTGTTTTCTAAACTGTTGTACTTGATCGACACGTGGCTGTGTACAATGTTGGGTTTAAATTCATTTGGAATAACATTTGAATAGGCTATATTAAATTCTTGACCATCTATATCAATTGGTTTGGTAGCCACGCATCCAAACGGTAGACAGAGAGTATGCAGAATTGCATATAAATAGCTAACCACGTTGTCCAACTTTTCTTCTCTTTTAACGAGATTACTCAGTAAATCTAACAAGCATAGAACGTGAAGATCACCCGATAAGTTTAACATATTACCGAATTCAGTTACTTTATTGTACCATTCTTGCGCGTAAAGTTCGTACTGATCCGAATCAATATAGTCTTCTAAATATGCCATGTGTTTTAACGTTAGTCGGAACATGATGATTTTGAGAAATGAAAAATTCAGTACGTAATATAATTTAATCTTTTGAAGGTTGTCGGTAGACCAATCTAGTGAACGGGCATCATCCCAAGATTTACTCAAACGTGTTGTCGTTTCGTTCCAGTCGACTTGGACATTGTATACGTTCATCAAATCCCTTTTGAAATTTCCTCGCACACCCATATTGCTCATAAGAAGATTTCTTATTTTTAATTTTTTTTCAAACACCTTTTTCGACACATCGTCACAAAATTTGTTTGTACACAGCAGATTTTTGGCTTCAGAAGTGTTTTTTAAAATCATTTCTTTTAATGCATCTAGAGTAGGATTCGGATTTGAGTTAATCGCACGGTCGTACCAGTCAAATAAATTACCTCTATGACATCCCATTAGGGTTTTACGTAGTTTTTTTAAGACATAATCGTGAGTAGCGGCAATTTTTTTACAATCTTCTGCACTATTTATTGGCATTTTATAGAACATACTTACCATACTGTTGTACAAATTTAGTAGCCACAAGACTCCAATAGGTACTCCTAATGTGTATAACGAAGCTATTTGGAGTGTTATGATATGACTAAAATCATATACCTCGGTAGCTACATTTGTAGTTATACATATTGGATACTTGTCAAAAAAAACCTGGATTATCTCCATGTGAATCAACCCGCTAAACAGGTATGCGCGTTGTAAATCATTTCTGAGATCTTCATTTCCGGTGAGATTTTGTTTGGGATATTCTTGATCGGGTTCCATCGATCTTACTGATTGACAAACGCACAAAAATAAGCCCAAAACAACAATTTTCGTTAGTAAGTTTAAGCGCACCATATCTTTGACTATTAATCGATATCTCTGTAAAATTATCATACGTATACTAACATATAAACTTACAAATAGTTACAGACGCTCTTTGTTTTTTTTAATATTTGAATAGTATGTTCATGACACATTGTTTTAAAAAAACAATAGCTTATTTTATTCTAGTTTGGACCACATTTTTCAGTTAAACAATTCTAAATAAGTTTAAAATTTGTTTGAAATATTCTTAGGAGGTATTAATTTTACAATATTTTGTTTACCACATCACGCATTCTGTTTGGCCAAAATGTGAGTTATTTGAGGCTGATTTTTAATAATTATTATTTCGGGTCCGTGGGACTGATAGTTTATTATTATTACTACACTTACAAGAATTCGGGAAATAAAATATAATGCAAATACCTTTATAATACATTCACATGTATATATCGACTATTTTTTGTATTGAAAACTACAAAAATATTGACACATTTCCTAAGGTGGCATAGTATACCACAGACGTAATACACAGAACAGTGTGATCCAACTGGTGTAAGATTTCTCAATAAATGTAATGCTTGTTTTCTCGGAAAATTTGAATATTTTGAAAATATTTTTTTTAAATCAGATATACTTCTTTTACATAATATTAACTCTCACAGATATTTTATTATTTTACAACTACTGCTTTTAATAATCCGTACAAGAAATACTAAATTTTAAATTAAAAAAACCTTTTGCCAACGATTACAGACAATAATTACGTTTATTAAGTGTTGAAAAATGTATAGTAATAAATAAGTAACAACTTGAATATGGAGTAGAACTGACTTTGTAATCGTTTCATTTAAATAAATGTGACATTACATGAGTGCAAATGTATTCTGTGCATAAGGGATTTATAAAATAATTTTAAAAACAAGGTATATTGTTAATAACAAGGATATATTTTATGTACAACACAACAATACAACCAAAAGCATATATATATTAATAAATGAATATGATAATGGTTATAATATGTATAATAAATATGTATGAATGAATCGTGTTCATTTAAAACAATTATAACGAAATAATTTAATATTTTTTCTTAATTGAATAACGATTATGATAGTACTTTGATAACGACAATACGTTTTGTTGTGTACGCATTTGTTAAACGGTATTAGTGTAGAAAATTTTTTTGGATGCCGCAAACCTCAATGGAATACGACTCACGTTCACGCATAAACACGCCATGTTGGAATTGCTGTACGTACTGCTGATTTCGCTCGAAATTTGTTGATGTTCTCAGCTTGATCAACGTTTGGATCGCTTTAAAACTGACACCTTCAAATATATTTTTCATGTATCCGACCAACACTTCTGCGCACAAAATGGTCACTTGAATGTGTTCAGCTGAGGCTCTCAATCTGGGATCGACCGGAATTTCGTAATTATCCGCGGTGTCCAATATCTGGGATTTTTTGATGTTGATATTCTGTAACGAATTGGTAGAGTGATTGTCCAAAAGGACCTTTGACATTTCATCGTTTTTCTTTAACGTTTCGATCACCCGTTCCTGTAAAGCGGGTTAGATTGTTTCCGAGATAATACCGCTTTCCCACGATTGGCGTAATTCACTCACGTAGAAACCATTATCGTCTTTGGGCAAGTACAAAAAATCACACCAATCGTCGTAGGGTCTTAAAAATTGTTCGACTTGTTCCTCACGGGGGTCTTTGTTTAACTTTTCCAACTCGTTCAAGAAATCATAATAGATCCGC